TCTAATATGTCTCTGACTAGACCTTCATGCCTGAGAAGGTGTCCTACCAACCTATCTCGCCTATAATTTATTGACTTCCATTTCCATAGAGTCCTCTGTTCTCCTATTCTTTCTAATACCTCTTCATTTCTAACCTTCTCTATCCACGGCATCCTCATCATTCGCCGGTAACACCACATTTCGAACGCTTCTAACTATTTCTTTTCTGCAACTCCCACCGTCCATGTTTTGCACCTGTACGCAGCAGCGTTCCAAATATACATCTTTAACAAACTTTTTAGAATTTCTAAATTAACCGTTCGCGAGCATAGAAGTGACTTCTTTTTATTGAAGGCGACTCGACCATGCGCTATCCTCTGTTTTATATCTCTACTACTCCTTCCGTCCTGACTTGTCTGACTTCCTAGATGTTGTAATGTAAAGCAGCAGTGGTGGTTTTTGGTCAGACTGTGCTCTGGAGGCTGCGCATAAACCAAACGGCTTTCATATAGTCACTTAGTTGTCATTGTCTATCATGGCTTTATCCTCGAGTCTCTCCCACCAAAACAGCTTAATGTTTTTGGACTTTTGAAATGAAAATTTGTGATAATTTTTCGACAATTTTATCGACCATCCGCCGTACTTGCCGGATCTAGCTCCGTGCGACTTTTTTCTGTCTTCAAGCGAGGAACATCGAGTTTTTTGCCGATAGAGGTCAGACGATTTCTTAAAAAAAGCTATTTGTAGACTGCTTCCATCAATGGCGAAGTGTATATAGAACCTTAAAGGAAACTTTGATAGGGACCAAACTGGTGTTAAAATTTTTCCGGTTGGATAATTAATTGTTATATGTACCTCCTTATTTATACCTTATAGAGTGAGTACCTAGTGCTTATTATAATTTACGATTAATTAATGGTTTTGGAAAGTGCCTCACCTGAAGTACGTTATCATATCTGAATAGGTCGAATGCATTCTTTGCCAAAGCGTTTCAGCGTTACTATAATCCAAGAAAACGTCCGGATAGAGTGCCGGATGAGACGGGTTTCCTACAGACCTTTCTACTATTTTAAACCCGCTAAGAGAAATTACTCCCACGGAGGGACAATCGTATTTTGCAGCTAAACCGTACACTACTGGATAAAGTGGTTCTACAATCACCAGGTCGTATTTTTCTCCATTAACATTTTTATAAATACGCGAAACATCGGGATCTTTCATTTGAAGGTCGAACAGTCTCGGCATGAATTCAATGAATATTTCCTTTATTACACTTCCTATGTCAGGCGTGATATTATCAATCGCATTTTTTTCTAAGGCTTTCTTCATGAGCACGTAAGAAAAACTAACGTCAATTTCTGTGAGGTTTGCCAATGGGTTTTCGTCTTTTAAAGGGTTCGGAGTTATCACCGTAACCTCGTGACCTCGCAGACTTAATTCTTTCCATATTTTCTGATAGACGAACTGGTGGCTTATCGACGGCATTATAAAATGAGCCAAAATTTTGGCACAACTCCCAAACTTGACGACAAACAACACAATCGCAACAACTTTCATTTTTGTAGTCGGAACTATTGATGATTTTTAAAATTGTTTCCTTTTATACATATTGCAAACGAGTTATCTTGCATATCGAGATTAATTTTATTTATTAATAAAAGTACTTATGTGCTATAATCCAGCTTTAACGTAAGAAAATTGCTGTATTGTCAGCATGATATGTAGAAAATGTGAAGTAGGGTAGGAAATTATTATACTTATAAACAATAAAGAGAGCGATGCAGTATATAAGGCAGCAAGAAAGAGAATATGTGCCGTACGTCGATGAACAACCACAAGCGAGTAATACATCAGATATTTATGTAAGGCCTTGTCAAACATTTAAAATAGTAGATCTATACTGATAGCAACTTTTATCACTAGATAAAGACATTCTGTTTATAGCTTGATATTATATCACCTTCCTTTTGCGGAACAATTTCGGTTTGGACAGCGATTACACGAAACTGCCTGTGGCGTGCTGATGACAACCAATAAGTTCGAAATCGCAATTTTAATAAATTTCTTATTAAAAACTCAGTATACATTAAAATACCTTACCTCAGATACGTAGAAATGTCATTGTATACAGAGTGAAGACGTGTCCACAATGTTTTTGCATCATCGTAATCTAACATAGCATCTGGATAAGCAGCGGAATGAGAGGGATTTCCCACTGATCTTTCTATAGGTTTGATTCCCGAAAACGACGATATTCCTACATAAGGACAACCGTATTTGTGCGATAGCGCATAAACTACGGGATAGAACATTTCAACCAGAACCAAATCGTAATTTTCGTTGTTGACATTCCCATAGATATCCCTCACTTGTTGATTTTGCATTTGAACGTCGAGTATATATGGCAAAAAATAGAGAAAAACTTTGTCTAGTTTTACATCTTCGTTCATTTTTTCGGCAGATTCTGCTGCCGAAAGTCGTTCAACGAATTTATACGAGAAACTGACATCGACCTCTGTCAGATTTACGAGACGCGGATCGTTGAAAGGATTCGGAGTTATAACGACTACCTGGTGACCTCTCGAACTTAATTCTTTCCAAATATTTCGGTAAACCGCTTGATGACTGACCGAAGGAGTTATAAAGTGCGCTAAAATCTTAGCGCCAGTTGCTAACTTTGCCATCACTAATAAAAGCACTAAACACTTCATGATTTAGACAAACTGTTTTAAGTTAAAAGATTGCCTGTACGCTTTACTAAGACTGCCTACTATTTTGGACTGATTTCAAGCTTTTATTTCAACTACATCAAGGAAAAGTCAGATTTAGTTTAAATAGGTATTCGATAAGTAGCTTGTTGATAAAAACATTATCTTTATTATTTTACTTTGGATCTTGAACCATTAATGCTACGCTACAAGGACAAAAGACAATATCAAAATAAATTTACTAATTTAGTGTCCTTTGGTGTATAACAACGAAAACACAAGTAACAAAAAGGCACAAGGAATGAAACATACAAACGAGAACCAAAGTGGCAAAAAGATAATACAACAATAATAATAACAAAGACAACAACAATAAAACAAAGTAGATAAAAGCAGGAACACTTACAAATGGTAGCAGTAGACGGTAGACTGTGTAAAGATATGAAAAAAAAAAACTTTTGGGTGTTTCATTNATATACGATCATAAATATAATTAGGAAAAAATTTCATAATGTTCTAATTTTAAATGGAATTACGATGATTTTATTTTTGTTGAATTTTGCCATGATTTAATAAACTTAAGTAAATATTTGATGGCAAATACTATAACAAATATTGCAAACGCAAGGACGGATAATACTAGAGCAATAATGTCCAAAAACAGGTATTGGTATAAGGGCATGTCTAGCAAGGGGTTGCGCAGATGCCTTGCACCCTTATGCCTTATCACATATTCTATCCACCATACTGCTTTTTCCACTCCTGTCATTGGCTGATCGAATGCAATATCCGATAGTTCTGCAATTTTTTGACGGTACCTGCACATAAAAGAAAAGACAATCGTATTAATAGATTTACTTAGAACTTACGCAATTAAATTCGTGACAAAAATATCTTCTCTTTCGTAAAACTATTTTTTTTTTAATTTTTAATTTCTGAATTAGAAAACGATAATAATATTAATTAATTATAATCATACTTGTCTGTATTGATTAATTCCAATATTTTCAATTTCATTTCTTCTTTGGTGACAGTATTTCGGTTTATTTCGAGTCCGATACCCATTTGCACCATTTTATTGATGTTACTTGGTTGGTCACCGAAAAACGGCATACCAAGAAGAGGTACTTTATAAAATAATGCTTCTTCCATTGACTGAAGACCTCCTTGGGTTATGAACAACTTAACGTTGGGATGAGCTGAAAAATTTTTTAAATTTCACATTTGCCACACACGAATATATTTTTTTTAAATTAAATTTCACCAAAAAAAATTACTGTTAATTGAGTTTAATTTATTATTAAAATTAAAAACTTACCTAGTACACCTTCTTGTGGTAGCCATTGTCTTATGACAACATTGTTCGGTTTTCCCGGAAAATGATCGGACTCCCATTTCCACAAAACTTTATACGGTAATTCAGAAAGTGCAGAAGCAATAACGCCTTTCAACCGCGAAGTCAAATTTACACTTTTTACATTTGACCCTAAACTGAAGTATATGACCCCTTGAATGGCATCGTCCAGTTCTTTTTTCAAGTCCTACAAACGAACGAAGAAAAGTAGGTTATTAAAGTTGGGTTTATATTAATTAATCTTTGCTCCAATTATTGTCCTTAATACAGATTTTTTTTTGAGACACTAAGGGTTAGACGTAGAAGTCCTCCAATATTAAATTATGATTTTCCTGTGGAAGTTTTTCTTGTCCTATAATAATTTTGTGTATCTAGGCTCTAAGAGCCATTTCATTTACGATTAGAACCGTGAAATAATTTGTCAGAGGGTCTAAAGGTTAGTTACAGGTTGCTAAAAACCTCAATATTAAATTGGAATTTTTCAGTGGAAGTTTTTCTTGTCCTTCAATAATTTTATGTATCTATGCTCTAAGAGCCATTTCATTTACGATTAGAACCGTGAAATAATTTGTCAGAGGGTCTAAAGGTTAGTTACAGGTTGCTAAAAACCTCAATATTAAATTGGAATTTTTCAGTGGAAGTTTTTCTTGTCCTTCAATAATTTTATGTATCTATGCTCTAAGAGCCATTTCATTTACGATTAGAACCGTGAAATAATTTGTCAGAGGGTCTAAAGGTTAGTTACAGGTTGCTAAAAACCTCAATATTAAATTGGAATTTTTCAGTGGAAGTTTTTCTTGTCCTTCAATAATTTTATGTATCTATGCTCTAAGAGCCATTTCATTTACGATTAGAACCGTGAAATAATTTGTCAGAGGGTCTAAAGGTTAGTTACAGGTTGCTAAAAACCTCAATATTAAATTGGAATTTTTCAGTGGAAGTTTTTCTTGTCCTTCAATAATTTTATGTATCTATGCTCTAAGAGCCATTTCATTTACGATTAGAACCGTGAAATAATTTGTCAGAGGGTCTAAAGGTTAGTTACAGGTTGCTAAAAACCTCAATATTAAATTGGAATTTTTCAGTGGAAGTTTTTCTTGTCCTTCAATAATTTTATGTATCTA